GCTTATTTAGCTATTTTTTTTTATATTTAAAACGTTTCATTTAAGTACTGTTTTGAAATTAGTTTTGAATTAGAATTTGAAAATTTTATTTATCGAGCGTTATTTTTTTAATAATATTCTATTGAAAACCTGTTTGTTTTAAGTGGTGAAAACGTTAATCCATTTCGATCTATAATCCCGTTTTCGGGAACAATGCCGCCGAACACCCCGGAATGGTGGCCACCTCGGTGAGCCCGAAGCGGATTAGCCCGGTGAAGGTGGGCGGTAGGAGCCCGATCAAGATGATGATGGTCAATTTCTTGGATGGATTTTAGCAAGACTTTCATCCTTGCTATTTTATTTAAGCTTTTTTTTATTCAGGGCGACGAAATCGAGCAGTTGGCCCCCTTGAAGCCTCCGCAGGTCCCCGTGCTTCCACCAGAGATTGGTGAGTTTTAGGAGCGCTATCATCAGGGGGGTAGCGGAGCGTAGCCCGCTAACCCCTTTTGGTTTGAGGTACCCCCCCATACGACTCTTTTGGGGTCCTTTTCCGGATTTAAAAAAGAACCATGCATCGGATCGCCAAACTGAATACGCCATCGGAACCGGCGACATTTTTTGCATAGTATAAGCTTTTAAAACTGAAAAAGAGTTAAATTTCGAATTTTAACAGCCGATTTAAATTGCGTTTCGAGGGGGGGGGTCTGCGTTTGTTTGTATGTATGTATGTACGCAAAACCTTTGTAGTCGTCAAAAAGTGCCTTCCCATGGTCCGTTTGGGCTGAAATTTTCCACATATATATCGACTTGGTGTAAATGAAGGTGAGGAAGAAGCGTTTTTTTCAAAATAGGCTTTTAAAAAAGTTATATTTGAATTTTTAAGTTTAAAAAGCTAAATTGCGGCCAAAACAAGTGTTAGTGATGTCCGTTTGGGCTGAAATTTTGCTCAAATATGCGATTAGACCATGCCGGAAAAAGTAAAGAAGAAATTGCATCGAAAGAATGCTTCTTCGCTGAGATATTATAACTTTAAACCTTCGCCATACGGGGCGCCACCCTCCCCCCTTCCCGGCCCCCTTTCCCTGGTCAGCAGGGCGGGTCTGGGTCCCCGATGACAGGCCTCCAGTCTCCCGGTTGGCCTAGTGGTTAGCACGCTGTTCTGGGAAGACTTGGCTCGCGGGTTCGAACCCCGCCCGCAACATCATTTTTGCCGATTGGCCCGAATGCATCGTTAAGGCTTTTAGTACCGTTACAAAGCGCCGCAGGCAAATTTTTTGAATGTATTGCGTACAAGGGTTCATCTGAATAAATATCCCATCCCTTATTCTATGATCTTAACAACAAAATTGAGGCAAAAAGGGCTAAATTCTCTCTAAGGCTAAAAAGTGTCTTTTCAAAAGGGCTTTTGGTTTTTCGCAAAAAGAGATCAATTCTCGTGGCAACAAAAAGTGCTAAATTCCTTTAAAACTCTGAAAAATTCCACAAAATGTGGGATCAACCAAAAGTTGCTGGCACCTTGTTAAAAGGGACAGACTCGTTTTTAGCCGTTTCGGCTTATAAATAAATTTCTGTATTATGATCCATTTTCTTGAAATTAATCTGTGGACTTGACCTGTCATCTAAAGCAGCCCCAAGTTTATTAATATTTTAATTAGCCAGCAGCTTTTTGTTGTTCCCCATTTTGTGGAATTTTTCAGAGTTTTAAAGGAATTTAGCACTTTTGTTGCCATGAGAATTGATCTCTTTTGCGAAAACCAAAGCCTTCTTGGGACACTTTTAGCCTTAGAGATTTTTACTTGGCTTTTTAGCTTCTCACCCACTCATCGAGTCGCCACCTCGCAAGGATTTCCTGCCAACTGCCGCCTATTCGAATGGCTATGAACAGCAGCCGGAAATTTCGCTGCCAGTTAGAGAGCCTTGTGAGTTTAAATTTCTTAATTTTTATAGTACTTTTAGGATTTTAGCTTTATTTCAAAGAAATAGTTTGAAAAAAGCATTTTTGAAGAAATTTTATCAGTTTGAACGCATAAAAATGACATAAATTATGATTGGGATGGGTGAACTACGAAGAACGTGCATATTATTAAAAAAAAGATTTATTTGTCTTTTTAGCACAAAATGCTGTGTTTTCGTTATGAAATTTTGTATTTAGGTGGTTTTTGTAGGAACTAATTAATCTTTTGTAAAAACCTCTAATTTTTGAATTAGCTATTCTATCTTCCGTTTTCCAGCTCCGGAAGAGGAATCCGATGCCGACTCTGAAGTGAGTGCCACCACCGCTGAGGAAGACTGGGGAGACTACACAACTAGGTAGGGGTTGTGATCATCTACCTAAAACTCCTCGTTGCAGATGTTGGTGCGAGATGAGCCACAACGACGAGTACATGATCTCGTGCGACAAGTGCGACGTGTGGCAGCACATGAAATGTGTCGGCATCCCCACCGCCAAGCCCCGAAGAACTACCTGTGCGAGCAGTGCAACCCGCGCAAGATGAAGCTCACCAAGGGACAGGTGGGGGAATTGTTAATTCAAGATTAATATTTCTTAATTTATTTATATTTTAATTGACTACGGTATTTGGAAGTTTTCAAATTCATCGTTAAATTTTTTTGTCGAAAAAATCGAGAATTTAATTTTAGACAGCGGCGGATTGAATTTTGATCAGTGAAAATACGTCGATTTTGTGTTGAAAGTAGTATTTATTATTTAGGCCAAAGACTACCAGCAGAAGAAGCTCGCCGAGCTGACGAAGGAGAAGCAGCGGAAGAAGGACCGTCGTGAGAAACGCCGGGCGAGAAGCTGAAGGCCCGCGAGAGCCCGTGCCCTGAAGGCCAAGAAGAGGCGCACTGAGCAGATGCGCCCCATCAGCACCGCCCAGTCCAAGAAGTTCACCGAGATCAAGACGAATGAATATTGTAAGTAATTTTTCAGTTTTACGAAGAGAATTAAAATTTTTAAAATTATACAAAATTTAGCTTTTTTGAAATTTGAAAGTGGTTGAAATCGTTAATTAGCTTTTGGAATGTTTTAAAAAGAGGAATTAAGCTTGAGAGATTGAAAACCCTTTTAAAGCTATTTTAGCAAAATTAAAAACCTTTTTTTAATTATTGAATAAGTTTTTTTACAGCCCCTCGTGCCAAGGAGCTGCTCTCGGCCTTCCGGAAACAACACACGGCGCCGATTTCGTTGTGGAGAATATCCGCAAAAACAAGCCGAAGGTAAATTTATCTTTATGGACTTTGCGATACTGCTGTCATTTTAAACGTTTTTAAATTGATTTTTGTTAAGGCTAAATTTACGGTGGAAATTCTGGTTTGTAGTACTCGCGAATGGTCGTCTCTCCTGACGTCCCGAGGGCCTAGTGGCCGTAGCGACGATTCCGAAAAATGACCTCGTCATCGAATCTCACCTCGGCCACGTCTCGTTCCCCAGCGAGTGCCCGGGCAGGGAAAAAGTCGGATCGGTGAGTGGCCCTTTTTTTGCCAAATTTTTTATGCCGATCGCGTGGAATTAAAAATTGTTTTTACAAAACAAAAATTATACAAAAAATTTTTAGGTGCAACCCCATTGCGTACTGTACTCTGGGGCCTCGCTTGACGCGCCGCTCGTCATCGACGGCCGGCGAAAGGGCGGTGACTCGCGCTTTGTCCGCCGCTCATGCAAGCCGAACACGGTGCTGAAACACGTCATACTCAACGGCAACCTCCATGTCCTCCTCCAACGCCACCGAGGAATCGAGCAGGGAACGGAGGTGAGGATTTTGGAAAAAAAACAAGAGGAAGAAATTGAGTAATTCGGTTTTCATATACAGGGTGCGTCAAAAATAAAGAATGAAGTTTGCACTGAAATATCTCGCGGAACGGAAACGAATCAAACCATCGTTACCTTGCCAGAATGATTAAATATGCTGAGCATGAAGAAATAGCACAAGTTGTTTTTAAGATTTTTTGACGACCAGTGGTCGTTAAAAGTTTTGAACATTTTTGAAAAGTAAAAAACTTTGAAGACGAAAATAATGGAACTTTTAATGAGTTAGGGGGACATGTAGGGTATCAAAATGAAGCTCTCGGAATGCGCTATCAAACGCATCGTAAATATTATTGATCGATTTAACTAGCCGTCAATCGGAGCCTTCGGAAAATCCGGACTTTTTGAAGAAAAATTCCAGATAAAATTTCCTTACCATCCGATCTTTCTGATATTTTGCAGTTAGCAATAAAGGAGATAACTTCTAACTTTTTGTATCAAGATTTTGAGAATCCCGATCAAAAAATTTTTTGGCATCTTGCCAAGTCGGCCAAAACTGCAAGTTTTACGTTGATATAGTTAAAATTGTAACATGATTAGCTTTGGCAAACAGCATTACATTTAATAAATACAAAAAGTTATGAGGGCAATGAGCTTTCTATGGTCAACTCGGAATCACCCTTTCTCGGAAATTCCGGATTTTCCGAAGGCTCCTATTGACGGCTAATTAAATCGATCAATAATATTTACGATGCGTTTGATAGCGCATTCCGAGAGCTTCATTTTGATACCCTACATGTCCCCCTAACTCATTAAAAGTTCCATTATTTTCGTCTTCAAAGTTTTTACTTTTCAAAATGTTCAAAACTTTTTAACGACCCACTGGTCGTCAAAAATCTAAAAAAAAAAAAAAAAAAAAAAAAAAAAAAAAAAATAAAAAACAACTTGTGTTATTTCTTCATGCCCAGCATATTCAAGCATTCTGGCAAGGTAACGATGGTTTGATTCGTTTCCGTTCGCGAGATATTTCAGTGCAAACTTCATTCTTTTTTTTGACGCACCTTGTACACTTTCGACATTCTGATTTTTCTAAAATCTGATTTGGCAAAAATATTTTACGCAAAAGCTATTATAAAAATTATTATTTTTATTTTTTTAGAAAAAATGACATTAAAAAAAAGAGGAAAAATTATTTTTCCTCTTTTCTAGATCACGATACCATTCGACTCGGACTACCTGAACTGCCCGCGCCCGTTGGAATGCACCTGCACCGACCCGGCGGCGTGCCCGATCGTCGGCTTCAACCACAACCTCTGTCCATCACCGCCACCATCACCTCCAAAGCGCAAGTCCAGCGCCGCCCCGCCCGCCAAGAAGACGCCGGCCTCGGCCGCCAAGGCCAAGCCGAAGAGCACCGAGAAGAAGGCGCCCGGCCGGCCGCCCCGCGGTGCGCCGATGATCAAGCTGCGTCGCGTCGACAAGGATAACAAGGCTCAGGAGAGCACCGCTGAGGAGGACGAGGCCGTGGCTGATGTGGCTGAGGGCGCCGAGGACAAGCCGAAACCTGCCGGAAGGGCCGCCAGGCCCAGCGACGCAGCGAGGGGGCCAAGGAGGGCGAGAGGTAAATTTTAATTTTTTTTGTGAATATCTAGAAACTAGAAAGTTATTATAAATTCCGACAGACCTTTAAAATACCCCGTTTTTAGTGGTGCCGAGTCGGGCGCTTCGACACCGAGGCCCAACCACCCAACAAGCGTGGCCGCCGTTCGCTCAAGGAGACCCCGACCCCCAAGGAGGAGCCAAAGTCCCCGAAGAAGGTCGAGAAATCACCCAAGAAGGAACCATCCCCCAAGAAGGAGGCCTCCCCGAAGAAGGACGTGTCGCCAAAGCGCGGACGTGGCCGAGGAGGACGGGCAAAGAAGGAAGAGACGCCCAGCGAGAAAGAGGAGGGCGAGGTCGAGGATTCGGACAAGGAGGAGGAGCCTGAGGGCGAGACCGAGGAGCAGAAGACGCCAGGACGAAGGGGACGTGGTGCTAAGGTGAGTTTTGAAGAGTTTTATCTATTTAAATGAAATTAAAATTATGAATAAGAAAACTATTATTGATTATTTTTCAGAGCACAAAATCACCGGAAAAGCCCAGCCCGGCCTCCACTGGCAAGCGCACCTCCGGACGACAGAAGCCCGACACCTCGGCCCGATCGTCTGCCAACCGACCGGTAATTTTTTCTCAACTTGATTTGATATAATTCTTCATTTTTCCCATTAAAAAATTATATTTAAAGCAAGTTAATTAATGTAATTTTAAGTTACAATTAATTATCTGTAATTGTTATTTTTCCTATCTTAAGAACCCTTTTCTGTAGCTTCAATTAATCATCATTTTTCCAGAGCCGCGAAGAGCGCAAGCTGCAGCACGAGCTGGCCATGTTCAAGAAGCTCGAAGAAGCCGAGGGTGGCCGGAAATCCGGGTCTCCTTGACAAGCCGGAGCCAAGGAAGCGCCGTGCATCCGATCGCCATGCCCAGCAGCCAGCAACCCCGGCCGAGCGATCGACCCGTGGCGGCAAAGGGCAATCGAAGCGGGACAAGGATAGTGGCGATGACAAGTATGTAGAAATTGATTTTTTTGGTAAGCATCCGTTTTTTAGGTCTATCCCTCATCCAGGCTGCCCCGGCAAGCACAGGCTGATGGAGCAGAAAATCAAGGAGGAGGAAGAGGCCGCCGCTGTTTCGAGTATCCTCACCATCCCAAGACTCCGGCAGGGCCGCAAGGGCTTCTTGCTCAGGAGGGCCCAGGCGGATCGGGGCGAAGGAGGAGCCGGCCCGCCCGACTCCGGCACCGTCTTCGCCCCAGGCTCAACCGTCGAGAATGGTGGGTATTTTTATCTTTCTTGGAATTCTAAATTCATGAAATTATGGATTCTGAATTTTATTTTTGATTTTTAGTACTCCAAATCTCCGCAAAAGCAGCGCTGCACCGACTCGGAGCACGAGCCGGCCACGCCCACCGCGCGGGAAAAGCCGCCCCGCGATTCGTCGAGAAGTCTGGAGAATCCGCGCGAGCTGTTGAAGAAAAAGGCGAGGGCTGCTCGAAGACGATCCAACCCTACGAACTGCCCAGCGGGCCGGAGTGGCCGCCGGTTACCAAGGTATGCGTTAAACGAGTTGAAAACGCTGAAAAAATGAAGATCCCCTAGAAAATAGTTAGAAAAATCTAAAATATTTTTTCTCTAAATAATAAATCCTCATGTTTTCTGAACTTTTTTATTATCTACTAGATGCTCTTTTTAAGACTCTGATTGTTTTTAAAACTTAGACCAGGGTTGAAAGAGCCGCTTCGCGACCCTTCAACCCCTGGGCCCCGTCTGTCCCCCAGATATTCTTGGCTTTGCATAATTTTCGCGGCTTCGGATGACGAAAATGAAAATGCTCTTCTCCACCCCTTTATATAGGCTAGGCGACTTCCGGTGCATGCTAATTTGATCCTAACAAAGTGCGGCGTCCGATTTTCCATGAAAAACTTGATTTTAATGTCGAAAACAACATGTTTTTTTAAAATCTAATATGTGTGCAGTCATCTCGAGACCCTTACGCATCCAATGACGTACCGAACATAACCCTAAGTACTTCCCATCTTGAGATACTACTGGAACACGGTGACGGAAGTTGCATGCAAATGCACACACACACACACAAACACTATTTTTTATATATAGTAGGATACCAGAAAACAGATCTTGCGCCTTTATTTTAGTGAAAGCCCGTCGGCTGACGCTGGAAGAGCACAAGAAACGACGCATGGCCGCCCCGCTGCCCCTGTCGGAAACGCCGGAGAAGTCGACGCGCGCTACTCGCCAAAACTTTATGCCTAGCCTCGATGTGAGTTTTCCGTATAGCCTCTCTCTCTCTTCTCTCTCCTCGCTCTCTCAACACCCGTTTTCAGGATACTGATACCCGACGGTTGACGCTGGGCCCGATCCCGGACCCGAACGCTTTGCACGCTGTCGACGCAGGGGATATCAACGATCTGCGACGGCGGATATTCAACGACGAAATCGTGAGTGGAGATTGAGCTATTGAAAATGGCTGGTATTTTAGCCCCTCCACCGCAACCACCGATTCCTGAACTCGGCTTCCGTTCACCTCACCATAGAGGGCGTCAAGGGTTGGTTTTTGGAGTTTAGACCCTACAAGGGAACCTCATCCTGTCCGGGTGAGGTTCCCTTGTTAGGAGATACGTTGTTTTTTTCGAAAATCAGGACTTGGAAAAGCCGTTAAATCGAAAACCAATGCTTAATTTTTTGAGATAGATTTTTGCGTGTTTCTATTCTTTTTCGACGTCACGACTTTTCAAGGCAATAGCTTGAAAATATTGATTTTTCGAAATAGAAGTTTGTAGCCAATTATCGGCTATTTCCTGACTAAACTCTCCATTCCAGCAACAAGCCACCCGTCCGACACCCGGCAGCGCTAGCGGAAGCGCGCAACAGCGCGGCTCCCTGGCCGACCGTCTCAAGGAGCACTTTTCGCATTTGATGTAAACGCCGTCGCCGCAGTCCACGAAACACCTCCACACAAACACACCGTTGCCTTCCGCAAATCGGGAACCACCCACCGTCCGTCCGTCCGTCTGCCCACGATCTCCGCGCCCAGCCCTTCGAATAAGATGATAGCCATTAAACCCCTAAAAACTCTCAATTTGTTAAAGTGCTAGCTGTGGCTTGTCCAAAGTTTCCCCCTTACTTTGGCCCCGTAAAATTCACTTTCCTACATTGTTTCGCTTGGAATTGATGATTATTCAGTTGCACCCGCATTTTCGCTAAGGATTTTAGTGCCTCACGCCCCGCCCGATCCTGCCTAAGCTACCCTACGGGGTGGGGAGATGTCGGTGTTTTTGCCTCGATTTTTTAGATGATGGTGTCGTCGGTTTTTGCTTTTATTTCTGGAAAATTAGAGCGCTTCACTCGATTTTCCTAAAGTAAAAAAGGCAAATCTTGAAAGGGGACCCTCGTACAACCTTCCAACCTCTTTTTTTTTGGAACTTCCACAATTTTGGCTTCTTTTAAGTTTAATCGATTGCGTACCTGGGTGCCCTTTCCAGATTTTGCCTAGAAAAAGCGCCAAAAACGTCGCAAAAGATCCTCAAAATAGCTTTTCTCCAATGACGCCTTACGAGTTGATTTTCCCAACGAAATCCAAGGTGTCATTTCCCGAATTTGCTAGAAAAAGAGCTAAAAGGCATAAAACAAACCGAAATTACCTAAAAATTAACTCAGCAAAAGCCCTGACATCTCTACAACCTCGAATCCCAAACGACGGAACCTCGAACACTTGGCACTTCACCGCACACTTTGCCCCTGACCTCCTCTGCCCAAAAACATATTTTGCCTACCCCGTAGAATTATCGCCGTTGAAATGTGCACCCCCAGGCCCTCCAGCACTATCCCTGCTTCCCCCTGCTGCTTAAAAATATTGTTACGCTAATTCGCCTTGACCCCGGCAACACCTTACAAAAGTGCGGCCGGTGGATAATTTGCCCACGTACCGCACCCACCTCGATACCTCTTCGCCCCCCATAGTTACTCGTTTGTGCCCGCGCCCACCGTATAATGACAACTGCTACAGTTGTTAATAAATTTTAATTTTTATACATTGTTGTCGGGTTATCGAAAATGCAATGTACCAGAAAAAACACAAAAAACGGTGGAAACAAACAGAAAATTGAATTTTTTCGAAAGGATTTCAAAATTGAAAATGCAATGTACAAAAAACTGGAAACAAACAGAAAATTAGATTGTTTTATTTTATTATTTCTTTATTTTTATTTTAGGTAGGAAACATTTTAAAAAGAAGTGGGACTACGTGACTGTACACTTGACGCGTCGAATCCGTTCGGGGTAGTGTCGTGGAGCGATGGCGCATTTACTCGATTTTCGCCTTTTTGGATTTTTCTGGATTTTTGTTCCACTCGCAATTTAGAAGTCATTTTCTGTTTCATTTGGGTATCTATTCGAAAACTGATTTTTATTTTGGGATTGGCGTTGGCGAGCGGTCTCTAAAAGAATCTGCGTAAAACTTTTTCAAGTTCGCGAATTTTTAGGCCAAAAAACCCCAATTTTTAAGCCAAAGAATTCTGTCTTCAACGCTTTTGCCTTTTCTTATAGATTGTCCCGCTCTTTTTGCTTTCTTTCGTGAATCGCCGCTAATTCTGTTTTTCCCAACGTGCCGATAACTTTGCTTCATATTCAGGCGACCTACCTCAGTCAGTTGCCCTTGAACTAACCTACTCGAGCGTCTGAGCGACGAGCGCATGGCTAGGGATACCTGTATGCTTTGCTTTTATGCTTTCATATGCCTTTTTTGCAGCCTCCGAAGAAGAGTCCGACTCCGAGTCTGAAGTTTCCGAGATCAGCTCGGCCAGCGAGGACGAAGAGGAATGGAGCGGGGAGTATACGACGAGGTATTTCGTCTCGTCTTTGATACCTCATTTCCTTTTTGTAGCTTGGTGCGACATGGGCCACGATGACGAGAACATGATCGAGTGCGAAAAGTGTCGCACGTGGCAGCACATGGTGTGCATGAGCCTCATGCCGGATGGCAACAACCCAAAGGGTTACCATTGTCATTCGTGTCGACCGCGCAGGCAGAAGCTCACGAAGGGACAGGTATGGCTTGACCAATTGGCTTCTATAGAATTTTTAGGCCAAAAAGAAACAACGGGAATATTTGGCCGAGAAGCGAGAAACAAAAGGAGCTCAAGGAGATGAGCAGGAAGGCACGCCTCGCCAAGAAACAACGCGAGATGGAGGCAAAGGAACGGGCCACAGAGGAAGCGCGACGTTGCGCTGAGGGCGCGCGAGCGGAAGCAGGCTGCCGCCCCAACAAGGAAAGGCTCGTTGACGCCGAAGAGGGGCTCCACTACGCCGAAAAAAGGCTCGACTACGCCAAGGAAAGGCCCAACTACCCCCAAAAAAGGCTCAACTACCCCCAAAAAAGCGCTCAACTACGTCGAAGAAAGGCTCAACCACGCCAAAGAAGGAGCCTGTCATCAAGCGCGGCAACCAAACCGCGCAGCCCGATCCCAGACACGGTAGAGGAGCCGTCGAACGAAGAAACCGATTCTCCGCCCAGCAGCGCCAAAGAAGAGAACCGAAACCCACACGCTGATCACCAGCAATGATTATCGTGAGTTTGCCAGCCTGGGCTGCAACATGTCTGTTTAGCGGCTCGCGCCCAAAAGCTGTTTCAGGAATCAGCGATACTCACCCTGAGTATCTTTCCAACATGGTCATGACTCAATTGCAGCCACCCAAGGTATTCGCGTATTTTTGATCATGTTTTGTTGATCTTAGTACATCATCGCGGTGGTCAACGACGAGACGCAGGAGAAGGGGATGTTGGCGGTGGAGGCGCTGAGCCGAATACGATCGTCGCCGAATATCTGAGCCGCGTCTCGTTGCTCGAAGAATGTCCGAACGAGAGCCTGTAGGCGGGGTAAATATCTTTCGGTTCTTTCTAATTATTGGTGGCAAATTGAACTCTATTTATCGTGTAAAAACTAACTAAAAGTTTAGGAAAATTGTTAAGCGGTAGCATTTTGGATGGCTTTTGGAATGTCTGTCTTTTGATCAAAATGGCAAAGTTTGGAGGCTTAGACATAGCCAAAATAGTTTGGAAACACTTCCTCGTTTCATATGAGAAGAATTGAATCCTAAAAAAAGTAACTGCTCCCGATAATACAAAAGCACGCTTCCTCTTTTGAACTTGCTTTCTTTCTTTGTTCACCTTTGATTTATTATTCCAGGTAGTCCAAATACAGCCCCATTGTTTGATGTACAACTTTCGCGGCGCGATCAACCGGCGTTTCATCCTCGACGCTCGTCAGAAGGGCGGAGATGCGCGCTCATCCGCCAGTCCTGCAAGCCTAACACCGTTCTGAAACACTGCAAGCCCAAGGGCGTCGTTCGTTTTATGTTGGCCGCCGAAAAGCGAATTGAATCTGGGTCTGAGGTATATCTTGTCGCGGTGGTGACCGTTTTACTTCTTTTTAGATGACCCTCCCGTTCGACGCCGACTACGTTCACTCCGCATCTCCCCTGGCGTGCACGTGCGAATATCGCCAACTGCCCTGCCGAGCTGAGCGCGTCAACAGAAGATGAAGGAGCTCGGTCCGAAGACGCCCTGAGCACTACGAGCAGCGGCTACAAGTCGTTCGAAGAAGGCCAGTGCGGCTCGCGTGGAGATTACGTGGCTCCAGAGGTAATTTTTTCTTACCTGTGTGCTGTAATTGGTTTTATGTGTGTTAATATTTGCCAAATCATGCGTTTTATACAGTTTTTGCGCTTTTTCGCAAAACGTAGCCCTTTTTTGTGCCGCCGTAACTCACGAGTTGTCGCTATTCCGGTAAATTGGACCGTGGGAAATTGGCTTTTTTCGGATCTTCATTTTTCCGGTCTTGCTTTTTGATAGATTGAATATTTTATTAAAATCAATAATCTAATTACAGCATCATGAATAATTGAAATTTCAGGTCAAACTTGTTGAGAAGCCGCTCCGTTCGGCCTTGAAGAAGCCCAAGCCGTTCAACGTTGACAATTCTGACCGAATGGTAGGGTTTTGGATTTTGTTGCGGTAACCCTTCTTTTTAGGGACCCGAAGAGCAAAGGCACCGCGATATTCCGATGGGCAAGCAGCACAGTGGCGTGGACGGAGAGCGGAAGAGGCGCGGACGGGAGGCCAGTAAGTCGCCCCCGACGCGACACTCTGCTACTTCGCGGACGTCGGTCGGAAAGAAGCCGCGGCCGAATACGGATCTGAACAGGTGTGTTTTACTAGTTCGTCGGCAAACTGCTCTTTTAGCAACAAGCAGCCAATATACGCGCTCGGCCAGCGGTTCGCCGTCGACAGGCTGACGAAGGACAGGATGCACATAAGCACTCATCGCGCTCGTCCGCCACCATCCCCTCCACGCCGAACGGTCCCCACAACGTCTTCGCTCAGCCACTCCAAAAACTATGTAAGTATGTTGAAAACTTTTTTGGAACTCTATTTGAGTCGCCGCCTTCCTCTCACGGACGCATTGCGCATCAGCCTCCGCCTGCCGCTGTGAACATCAAGACGGAGCCGGAGCGTAAGTTCAAGCTCTTGACCTTTAATCTTCCTTTTCAGCCTCACCACCGGCCGCCCAGCCGCGCAAGTTGTCGTTGGAAGAGTACAAGCAGCGAAAACAGACGGCCGCGCCCACCCCGCCACAGATCAAGCAGGAGCCAGAAGCTCGCGCCTCGTGGATGCCGGATTTCGATGTGAGCTTTGATGCTATTTTTTTTATTTTTGAACCCAGGACATCAGCCACACAACGTTCACCATGGCGCCGATTCCCGACCGCATGCGGGTGCTGAACTGGGACACGTCCAGCAGCGATTCGGTGCGTTCGACGAATTATTTTTGATTGATTTGATCTTTAGCCCTCGTCTTCTTCGCAGCGTCCTGTCGGCCCGGCTCGCAGCAAGGTTGGGATTGTTTTGAAAACTTTTTCAAAAAGTCTTTATTAGAAGATCTCGATCGACAAGGACCGCGAGTCGACGGCCCGTCTCCGCGAACGCATGAAAGAAGTCATGCCGAACTTCTTGTTTAATTAGCTTCTGTGTGATGATTTATTGTCTCTATTTTCTGCTTGATTGACTTGTTGTATAATCGCCTTTAATTTCATGATTCGACGCTAAGCATTAAAATTTACCGGTACAATCGGTTTGGGAAGAATAAATTTTTCGTTTAGTTTTGAGAAGATTGACGGGAACGCTTTACATGGATTTTGCCTTGCGCCTTGCTCGATGCATTTTACCGGATTTGGGAATTGAACGCGCTTGATGAGGAAAACTACGCTCGGAACTCGTTGTCTCGCGCGGTGGAAAAAATTTATGGCACGCTGGGACTGGGAAGCCTACGTTGTCTCTGAAACGATGATACACTTTAGGTCCTCAATTGCTCGGGAATCAGGCTTGAAATGGGATGAGACTGATTAGATGATTGGATTCTCCCCGCCCTTCCAAGTAGTTCTAGATCTCGATGCCGATTTCCTCTAGTATAAGCTCAAGTCTTTTTTTTAGGACTGGAAACTGGAGTACAGCCAGAACTTCAATTTTTCGATCGTTTGAGATACCAAAAATGAAATTGTTTGAAAAATTCTTAAAGTTTACCATTTTGACCAACCCCATCGGTTTTTACCGCTTCAGATCGCGTGAAGCTACACTCATTAGACCACAAGGATTCTAATTTCATTTCATGTTCTATTTTTTTCGGGCTTCCTAGTAGTATCGAGCCGGGGAGACCAGTTAGTTAGAAATAGTTAGGCCAGAGTAAATACGGTATTTATTTCCGGCACCTACCGAGGTCGCCGCCGAGATCCAGGAGCCGTCGCGGGGTTGGCTGTCATTGTGTTTGTGTATGTGTTTATCGGGGTCCCCTACCCGCTCTTCCCGCATCGTCTCCGAATCACACTTCCCACCTACACAGCCCAAACATACGCGGCGGAAATCATGTTTCTTTACCCCAAGCAACCGGCGGTGGTCTCTCTTGTCGACTACTAGAATCGAGCCGGGTGGCTGATTCACCGCGCCCTTGTTCGAGTCAATTGTATGGGGGTTTCGCGGAAAGTTCGGGCCATGAATTTCTTATGTTGGATCGGGCCGCTTTCAGTAGATTTTATGAGTTTTCGATCTTTAGGTAGTTTTATGTAAGAATTAAACTAAATCTTTTTAGTGGTTTTTTGTAGTATTCCTTATATCTCAGCTTTGTTCATTTTTAATGCATGCTCGGTGTTCAGAAGAATTTACACGCTTCAAGTGGCGACACGTACAGATTTTTTGGCGACGAATAAAGTCGACTTTTGTAGAATTATTTGCCAATTTTTGTAGAGCAATTTTGTACCCCGATCGACGCTTTTCAGCTTTTTTCGCGGCGCCACGCAAGCGCCGAATTTATTTAGGCGCCCGTTAATCATGCGGCTTATACAATGGCGAAACACACGCGGCGTGATAAGTCGTCTCGATGGCCGGTGCCTGGCGCTTGGAATTGAGTTGAGGCAAAAGTGGCCCGACCTCGAGTTTTGCATAAAATTTGGGGTCGGGTCAAAATTCCGCGTTTCGAGCTTTCGCAAGACTCTTATTTCTGCCACTTTAAACCGCTACCTTTGTAAACACTTTCATGTAGTAAATTTGAGGGAATTTAGGTGAAGTTTCCTTCTTGGCCCTTTTACAGGAGTCGCGACAGCTTTTTTTTCCCGGATCCGCCGGCTTATCGCCATTATACGACACCAGATTTTTGGGGTCATTTCGGCGAAGATTTGTTGAGCGCTGTTTTGTGGGAGTTTAGATGACGTTATTCGGGTTTTGCAATTTAGGTGCGTTAGGTTTAATGATACAAAAATTTAACATTTTTCAATTCTTCCAGCTCTGAATTTAGACGCATAGAAATTTTTCCATTACCCGCCTTTGTTGTTACTGCCACGCTGAAGATTTTTTGACATTATTTTAGGTGTTTTTATGACGGGTATCTTTCAAAATTAGGCAAAGTAGAGCTTCATTTCATTTCTCGGGAAGAATTTTTAATTTTGGCTTTTGCGATTCCTACCTATTTTATTCAGAAAATTCTGCCATTACACCTGGCTGCTAGACCAGATTTCCGGTCTGGCAGCAAAAAACGCAACATTCTGCGGCGTAGGGGGGACGATTCGCAGCAGCGCGAGCAATTAGTCCGGGGGCACATGTGTTTTCCTCGTTTTTCTTGGAGCAATCTCGGGCTGTGGGGGGCGCTTGGCCACGCGAGACCCGTCCATTCCGCCCCGGCGCTGCGAGATGACAGCGCAGGAAGCGCCGATTCCAGCCCCGCACCAGTGCAACGCACATCCACATCATCCGCTTCTAAAAAAACGAGCGTTTGATGGAATTAATTTCACGATACCTAGGTTTTTTGGCTTTAATTCTCGGCTTCATGTACCGTTTTTTGAGGTTTTCAAACCAGTTTTTCTTTGGTTTTCACTGTATTTGAAATTCCTTTATAATTCCCTACGCTATAGAATTCCATTTATATTCTAATCTATGATGATTCTTTTCTCTCTCTCTCTCTCTCTCTCTCTCTCTCTCTCTCTCTCTCTGTATCTCTCTCCCCCCCTCTCTCTCTCTATTTAAAAAAGTTTTTACAGCATTCCATTTTTACAATTTTAGCGACGTGGCCCCGATGCGGGAATTCAAGGTGGTCGTCGTTGGCAGCGGCGGGGTCGGCAAAAGCGCCTTGGTGAGTTCAAATTAATTTCCAGAAATTCGTAACAATCTCAAATTTTTATGGGCCTTTTCTGCCACTAACCGGATTTACATGATGTTCCTTTAGACAGTGCAATTTGTGCAGGGGCACTTTGTGTCCAGCTACGATGCGACGATAGAGGACAGCTACCGGAAACATATTCAGATCGATGGGCGCGAAACGAGGGTCGAGATTTTGGACACGGCGGGAACGGTTAGTAAGCATACCTTGCAAATATTTTTTCTGTATCGAAAAAGCTTTATTTTTATTCCAAAAATTTAGGAACAATTCTCCGGGATGCGCGATTTATACGTGAAATCCGGCCAGGGTTTTATACTGGTTTATTCAGGTAATTTCTTTTATTTTCCAGAGGTTGTAGACTAGCAAGAAGAATCCTGGCCTTTCCTTTTCAAACGTGAAGTTTCGTACCACTCCAAATTCTAGTTGACGACCCCCATTCGCTGCGAGAGCTCCTCCCCATCCACAAGCTTATAATGCACCTGAAACAGGGGCAGCAGGTACGGTAGCGGATTCGTACTTTTTATACCCCAGTTGACGTCATCAGGTGCCCATGGTAGTCGTGGGGAACAAGAGCGATTTGCACGGGCAGCGAGTAATTCCAACGGAACATGGACGACATGTGGGTTTTAGGCGAGAGAGCGTGAGAGAGAGAGAGAGTGAGAGGGGAGAGAGTGAGTGAGTGAGAGTGAGAGAGATAGAGAGAGATGCTTGAAAACTATTCAAAAAAAACCATTTTAGGTAGCGCGTGAATGGGGCTGCTCCTTCTACGAAGCCAAGCGCCAAGCTGAACCACAACGTTTCGGAGGTAGGTCTAAAAATATGCTCGCTACAGTAATCGAAAAAATCTAAAAAATTCAAATGTATTTGCAGATCTTTACGGACGTCTGCCGGCAAATTGAAAGAAGCCGAGGTCAATCGAATTCTGGAAATTCGCCCCCGAAAAGAAGACGTTGCGATTGCCAGGCGCTCGGCCCGATAGTGATGAGAGACGATATAGGGAAGAATAGATACGCCTTCAACGTCTAATAGGCGATCAGGAGGGAAATGCTGTACGATATTATAGCCGACCTTAAAAGCTCTTTTTTTTTACTTTTAAAGTGAGTGTGCCAGCAGGATCAGCAATAATCCCTTTACTTTTCGAGCTCGCTGCTGGCACCACCCCTTACAAATCGGTGGATTTTCCGTTTTCCTATCGTAATTCCGATACCATATTTAATGGAAGCAATATGATGCTTTCTGGCTTGTCAATTTCTTTAAAACACCGATTATTACGTTTCACACTCATTACTGGTAAACTTTTTAATGCCCATTTTGCTAATAGTATTATCTCATTTTTGTGAATAAGACCTACCGCGTACATATCAAAAACCTGTATTATGTGTGGCTTGAATAAAGCACTTGCATCTTAGAAATTACGGTTACTTGATTTGCATTTGAGAATTATCTGCCAATTAAGAACAACAAAATTTGCATACAGGCATTACCCGAAGTTTCAGGAAAAAATAAAAAAAATTCCCATTTTGTACTTTTCTATCCATAGCATACGGTAAGTTTACTTATCGTTACAATATACTTTTCTACCTTTAGAATTCATCGAAATGTCACAGAACCATTGCCAACTTTCAGCCGCGGGTCCCGCCGCGTCACTTACTGTAAATTTCGATTAAAGAACCGCTGAAAGCAAATTCAGAAAATGCGAATCGAGGTGGGTGGGCAGCAGGTGCCGCTGCTCGACGTCATCGAGGCGTTGCGGATGTGGGACGAGGCACTGGTGAGCTGGGCGGGCTAGCAGAGATTTTTGGGAGCTCAAGCAGCTGCCCATGCCCAATTTCCAGAACAAAGTCGACACCGCCAAGGCCACATCACCGATCAGCGCGCCCGTCGAGACCCCCGTCGAGCCGCTGGTGAAGCAGTGGAGTGAGGCTTTTGAAGCTTTCAAAGCCTGAGCCCAAGCTTCTAACCGAAGCCTAAGCCAAGCCCAAGCTCAGCCTAGCTAACCCTAAGCTAAGCCAAGCCAAGTTCGGACTCCCCGAAAAGCGACCTCTTCAGACTGGACGTTCCGCGGCATCCGGCTGCTCCTCCTGGCGTCGTTGTGGCTGGGCGCGTTGCTGTGGTTCGCGGCGCTGTGGAATCGCGACAGCTTCTGCCCGTACGTCGCCCACCCGGTCGCACCGCAGCCGCCCCAGCAACCCATCCACCAGCACGCCGCCGAGCCATGATCAACCCCATTTTTGCCTAACCGGACAATTTTTTGTGTTAATAAATCGTTTTGTTTATTGCGCTGCTTGTATGTCCGGTTTCAAAGGGACCAGAAAATGAGAAAATCGCGCCTTTCGATCTGTTGTTATTATGCTAAATTGTTAAAAAATTCGAAATTTTGTCAAAGGTCGACGTTTTTGGATTTTTGGAAAATTTATGTAGTTTTTACGCTTAGCAAAAGTAAAAACCATTGGGAAAAATTGGATATCAAATTAAATTGCCCCCCCTCGATAATGCGAAAGAACCAATGATCCGAACTAGCTTTCAATCGGCTTTCCAAAGAAAATAGTCATTACGATAGCGAAGCCATATTTTCGTATCATATTTTCCACCGATCCACTTCTCAAAATATTTATGCAAAAAAAACAGCAAAAATCTCAAATTTCTCGCAGTGTCAATGTGGCAAGGGGCACAGCTGCGCTAGCGGCCAGCGGGGGCAAGGTGAAAATTTCACAAGGGGGGCAAGAATCGGCAAACACACAGACACGCATCGCACGGGAATCGGCGAGTATTAGGCAAGAAAGAAAATACACAGCATGAAAACTAGCGAATACTCGATCAACGACAATCGGCAAGACAGCACCAAAGAGGGCAAGACGCCTATAAAAAGTGGGAAAATACAGACGACAAAGACCAAAAAGTGGCAAAATTAGCTACAAATAGCGGGCTATAAAATTCAAATTAAGAAGATTTCATGTGCGGCAGTGAGGCGAGCTTGATGAGTTTCTCGGCACTCCTATACACGTAGTTCGTCTCGTTCGTGCCGACGCCGTAAAAGTGCTGCTCCGACTCGGGGGCCAGCTTGCGCTTGATGCGATTTCTGAAGAAGAGAATTCCATGAAATTTGCGATTATACAAACCTGAGCGAGATTTTCGGGTCGGTGATAAAGTTGTAGATGACCGCCGTCCAGGAGCCGTGCGACTTGGATGTTCTTGTAGAATTCGGGGGCGATGTGGCGGATCCTGGAAAATCGTTTTCAAAAAAATCGAATGTCTTTAAATTTTTCGAAAACTAACACGAGGAAACGGGAAAAGAAAAATGCTTTTTTCTCTGCAAAATCCATCAATTAAATTCTCGTGAAGTTAAGGCACGCTAAAAATAGTTTAGCTATTTCACCTTCGGCAAATTACATCCTGGGACAGAACGTGAAATCGTGGATGCTCGACGTGGTAGCCGACGTTGAACGTCACGCGGTTCAGAAGGCCATAGTAGCTAAAAATACCAATAGAAAAAAACGTGTAGGCTAGGCTTCTCGACACCTGTACGTCTCCCGGCCGGGCTGGAACGTGTAGTGCTCGGCAATAAAGTGACCGGCTAGGAGGATGGGGGCCATGCTCAAGGACAAGCTTGAAGAAAAATCAAAACCTGAGTTTTTTTATGTGAAAAACTAACCTTACAAACAGATACAACAACGACTTGACGCCCCATTAGTAGTAGACGGCGTAAGTTGAACGAACAGCCGGATGGCGACGTTGACCAGCTCGAGGTCGGTGACCGCCTAAAAAGGGGGATGATCCAAAAAAAAAGAAAAAGGCGCACCTTTGGGTAGATCAACAGTGGGCGAATTCCGTAGAAACCGGCTGGAGTACTACCCAAAGCGCTTTTCTGAGTGTCGTGGTGAAGAAGTGGCACTCGATCTCGCTGGGCACGTCGGTGTCGATGACGCCCTCTCCCATGGAAATAAATAAATACGTAGTGTAATAGAGAGAAATCAGAAAACAGTCGAGTTAGGTACTACGTAAAAAATTCTAAATATTCTTGCCGACATCTGAAATTTCCAGTAAATTTAATTTGTAGAGCTAAAGAAAGGTACGGAAAATAGGAAGAAAAGTAGATTTAAGCTCAAGGCCATGCTCACCTTGATGGCGGTGGTGCTCGGAGGTGGTACTTCTTGAACGACACCGACATGAGCAAGCCGAGGGGCAAATATTACAATAGAAGCCAGAAGAGACGATTCTAAATTTTTTCTGTTTAATTTTTTCCATTGCTAAAACAATCCAAAATGAAATCCCCCATTTTTAGCGAAAAACTCACCGCCAGCGGGCTGGTGTATTCAAATCCCTGGTTACGCGCAATTTCATGGATCGCTAGCGTCAGTGAGTGGTTGAATATTTTTTGACACAAAGTGCGTAGTGCATTGCAGCAATGACGAGGAACCAGTGGGAATCAAGAAAAAAATTCATCCAATTCAGAATAAATAGAAGGATATACCCTTGCTTGTTTTGTGCCATCTCAACTTTAGCCCCTCAACAGATACGCGGAGCAAATCTGGGCCAACACTATGCACGCGACAGTGGGCTTGAAGGCAGGGGTCCGGGCCGAACAGCTCCTCTTCACCTGCGGGTACTTGGCAAGGATTTCTTTGCGTCTAAAAACAAACGATTTTTACTTCCTGTTTCATTCATTAACTTTTCATATAAACTTACAAATTTGCATTAAAAATATACAAAGACTTTCCAAACTTTTCTCGATCTATAATGCGTTTCTCTCGTGTAAAACAGCCAAATTTAATGGAAAACGTTATTAAAATACTCGCGATTAAATTACTAGGCAAAACTGGATAGGACGAGGCAAATCGCCCCCCCGATATTGCACAAGCACAAAATTTTTCAAACGCCAACCTCGTCGCGTGCGGCTCCTCGGTGTAGGACCAGGCAAAGTTGTCCGCCTTGGCCACCGATTGGCCCATTGCCCCTTAAAATTGAAGTTTAATAGAATTTCAGATTTTGCGAGGACATCGCGAAAGTCGAGAACTCCAAAAATAGAGTTGTCTGGAGGTGGAATATCGTCGCCGCCATATATTGCCCCAATGCTCTGCCCGCAAAGATCAAAAACAGTGGTCTCCCTGGGAGATTGCGTGCAAAAACCGCTGCTTGAACGGGACTCGGAAATTAGCTCATGTGTGTGTGGGCGCGCGAACAAAAGGTTAGCAAATTTTGGGTTTGAAAGGAGGTTCTGAAAGGACAGAATTTAGAATAGCGAGGTGAATTTCTGCTAGAAAATTAGGCTATTTGGATCGCCATAATTTTTTTATAGCTGAAAAACAGACGATTACCCAAAAAAATCCAATCTTTATACGT